TGGCTAAAATGGAGCTGCGCTCTAAAAAAAAAAGCGCTCAGCAATCATACTCAGCGATACCATAATCACCCACAAATGTATCGTAACGACGCTTGGCCACGCCTGCTCATAAAGATACTCAACTCCAAATTGTCGATGGTCGCTACGACGGTGGTGTTGAAGACTGCAAGTGGTGTCTGCAAGTGGTGCAAGTTAGTGCTACGCGCCATAAGGTTTGGGCACGAGTTCAGCTAACGAAGTTTGCGGACCTTAGCGTTTCTCGGGTCCCAAACGACTTTGGGACCCGAACAACGCAACGACATCCTTACGACGATCAATTTATGTATTAGATCAGAGTTTAGAGTCTACTACCGCCGGCTGGCCGAGTGTTGAGTACCCTGTTATGACTCCGAGCTAGCTCGGTTGCCAGACTTGCCTCGAAGAAAAGTCCGAACATCCATAAACACCGTACTTGCACCGAACCATTCCGTACTTCACAAAGGACCTCGAAGACTACAATAAACAAAAACCTTTCTCGGCTCCCACATTCAAGTGCTACTACATCCTGCAGCTATGGTGTGGGGCACTGCCATCGACGCGATCACCTGTATCCCGCTACACACCAACACACCCAACCAAGACCCTTCCCCCACCTTTCCATTATCCTGCTGTTGCCCTCCATTGCCCCACAAATCTAACCAACACCTTCCTCATGCTCGCGCCGACCGGTGCTGCTGCCACGATCTACTGCAGTCTCTTAATTCCCACTTCGACCTCCTGCGCCTTCTTGTCGCCCTCGACCTTCTGCACTTCTACAACCCCCGCACTCCAAGGGCAACATCCTGCAACCTCTCACCACCCTAGCACGCCAACACAGACCCTTCCTCGCCCTTCCATGAACCTGGTGTTGCACACCTGACCACAATCTTTCTCGTGCTAACCTGGCGCAGTTTCCCGTTGCTTGCTTCAACCTCCCGCACCTTCTTGTCATTCTCGGCGTCTCGCGCAGCCGCCTGTGATATCTCGTTATTTCCATCCTGGTTCTGCGCTCTATCTCGTTCCCTTCATACTACCCATACCCATACATTCTTCATATATATTATGATTAGACTTTCTTGAATATAATATCCTTAACTTGAACATTGACTGGAATTGATTGTCGAGCTCCTGCTCGGCTCGCAAGTACCACCTGAAAGACACGCGCATTTTTTACCAAGGAATAAATTTAAATTTATAGTTAAGATACATATATTTCGTGTATAGTAATTTACACAAAGCAATAGACCAACATCCAATAGATAATACGAAAAAGTACAAGGGACAGGAGGATGCACACTGAACAACGCGAAGGAATATTATGGGTGCCGACGCACGCCGCAATAGGAATTCGGCAAAGGGGGAAATAGATGTCTGTTGAGCTCGTTGGGATGATGACATGATAAGCAGATATTACTTGCTGCTGACAGGGGGACGAAAAGAAGAAGTACTGACTGTGGGGTAGCGGCATATATATACTAGCAGATAGTGCCGCTAAGTTTACCTTGACGCGAATATGTCGGGAGTGTCCTGGGGCTTTGAACCCTGTGAATGCCGTGAGGTGTTCGGACTTTTTGTGGAGGCAAGTCTGGCAACCGAGCTAGCTCGGAGTCATAACAGGGTGCTACAAACTCCTTCTACGAGCAGTCATTAATCCCCGTTCAAACCGTGTGTGCAGCCATTCAATATTCAATATTAATGACCCTCGTCACTCACGACAGCCGAACAACGCATCATGATTAAAATATTATTGACACCGTCAGGATATATAACTTATTAATATAAGACCGTTCACGCTCTGCAGTGCGGGATATGCAATCGAAGCACCCTGGCCACAAAATACCTTCCACATATTTCGAAAAGCTCGTCCGGGTCCTAGATACTCACACAACCATGAGGCCTGCTTCGAGACTAATCATCACGACCACACCATTCGTGATTGTCCGGAGGGAAGTTGGGTGTCGGCATCCACCGTGATACACTGATTCTTGACTCGGAGAAGCAGCGGGTGGTACCTTGAGCAGATACTTTGTATTAATTAGTTGCGTGCCGAATTGTATCTGTGCTGAGCTCCAACTGATAAGTGTGATGCCACACCGATCGATAGGTCGAATAAATGGTCACGGGTTTACTGAGGTCATGGTACTACGTACCCGCCAAGGAAGTAAAAAATGCAGTAGTATGATTGATAGATGAGTCCGTAAGATCTGCTGTCGTGAAACATGCACTATCTCTACCTCTGAGCACTTTCAGTACTTTGCATGGAGCTGTATAGTAGTGTAGCATGAATGCCCGACGCCGGGTGGGGCAATTTTTATTAAGAAATGTGAAGACTCTTACAATCATGTGATAATATAGGTGTGTTCCGAAGATAAAGGTCGACGGCCCTTCAAAGCTTCATAGGCGGTGGCGTCGAAGCCACCACTGGACTTGAACCAACATTTGGTATATATGCCTTTATTTGAACGTCTACATATTGTAAGGACGGACAATAAGCAGCTAGAATGTGGCAGCACATGATATATATAGTCTACACATATCGTGATCCTCTATGACCGATGATTATCAAGATGAGGTGTTAGTGGCATGAATTATTTTGTGACTACTGACGCCGATCTCAAGTGAGGACAGTGAATGTTTGACGACGGGTCTCTCATTGGGCATTTCTAGCGCAGGGGATCACCTGTGTGAGAAGTAAAAGAGATATATTTTCTTGCTATTTGTACCATGGGTGGGCAATCGTTTCATCAGCGTCCTGGTAACATGGATTGGATACTTGATTGGGAAGAAGATCATTTGGGCAGTATATATAACGGTTATGCATAGGAACGCTCGATACTCTACACATGTATTCTATACTTCAGTAATATTCGCATCATCGCTCTGAGCCATACTGCCGAAGCTAAGTTCCCCAGACAGATGAATTTAGAATTCTGAGGGAAATGTGGGACTTTCTGGCCCGAGAGTCGAGAAAGGAAGCAGTGTTAATGAGCGAGTAGAGGCAGTGCAGGCGATTGTGCAGGTACATGTCTCGGAGTATCACCGGGGCGCAAAGAAGTCAGATAACGAATAACAGGCCAACTTGATGAATCTAGTGATCGAGGTCTTGACTCATTCTGCTGACACGTACCTCATTTTCTTTGAGATCCGGGAACTGGACTGTTTCAGAATAGGTTCGGAATGGAGCAGGGTTGCAGGTTAATAAGGCTGTGAACTTCGGTGTCAGTCGTGGGCAATAAAATGAACGGAGAACCGAACTGCTTAGCTTTGCTCGGAGGGAATTCAGTTCTCAATGTACTTACATACTAGAACACGAGACCCTGTGTACCAGGGTGGTCTGGAGCAGGCCCTCAGGAGTGCCAGGAGTCCTGGCTCGTAATCGGTAGTCCCGTGGTGTGTTGTAGTCGGACATCGATAGACAGAGCCACAGCCTCCCACTAGAGGCTTGGCCTTGTGTTTTCCTTTGCAATCTCCACCTGCCAAATCATTATCCAGTAATTTGACTCGGAATGTCAGTTCAGGACAATTTGAATGACTTAAACAACGACCGTATCAATGGACTTTGAGTAAAAGTCGAATGCAGGACTCCGACTGGTAGTAGACTTGAGAGACCACTTTATCAGTGCGGCTACTAAAATTGAGTACGGTCCCAACCTTTGCCATGGAGGAGAACAAGAGAAAAAGGTGTGGGCCGAAGTGCGACTCATAGTAGTATGCATGATGGAACTGTGCAACATTCGAGTCAGTGGTCTGATTGCGGGGGATTGACAGACCGTCGATGCTAGTATGTGGGACTCGGATGTTTCGCGATGAGGCCAGGTGCCACTGCTTCCTTGACAGAACACTGTAGAAGCTAGAAACCTGATATGAGGTGAGAATGGTTTATCACGAAGAAAGTAAAAGACGAAACAGACCAAGACCGATAGTTTGATTTGTGCCTTACATGCGCGATGTAGAACACTCGGAGTTTGATAAGTTGTTGCTAGTGGGATATAATTTCACGTCCAATGAATTTCAATGAGATTGAGATCCTGACATTCGTCTGTCACCCGATATACCATTGTATTGGCATATCAAGTGCTGGAGAGCATAGTCTATTATCACGTGCATTTGATTATCAGTGGGCGTTAGGATAAGTTAGAATTTGGACTACACGAAGGGAGATGAGTTTTTGTCGAATAAGAGCATTGAACTGAATCGGAACGTACTGTTACCTGTGACATGAAAGAGTGAGCAGCGGGCGCAGTGCTGGGAGACAAGACATTGACAGACAGCGTCAGCGAAAGAATACCTGTTGGAACTAACAAAGATGTGTTTCTCGGGGCTTGAAGGAGCAATGCTCGTACCTTGACCCTCTCCCACTAAAGTGGGTGTTAGGGATGCATCGACTCGGATGAACTCCCACGAAGCTGTCAGATAAACAGCGTCTCGAACGAGAAACAAACCGTGTTCGTTGCCCACTATGCCGGAGTGTGACAGAATCATGCCGAGTCCGTCACGGTGCCGCTGCACTCAGTCTTTGAAGTTGATCTTCATGGCGGCGCACGCTCAAGCGTCAAGCCTTGTACGGCCCGCCTCCATCGCATTTGTAAACGAAGTCCCTCCTATTAACTTTTGAGCCTGAAGCTTTCGTTATTAGTCAGCTTGCAGCTGCCGAGGACGTCGAGGACGTCGAGGACGAGTTTTTCAGGGAAGAGCCACTCGTCAGAGATGTTGTCGTAGTTGTACGTGTTTTCGGCGGGAAATGAGCAGTTTAGTATGTCCGGACTAGTAGTACTACCAGTGGAGCAGAAAATGCGTAATGTATCACGTACCTAAAAACTTACTTCAGCAGACGAACTCACTACAACTCGGCATTAATTGGCCCTGATGCTTGAAGTTGCTGCCAAGGACAGGCGTAGAAAAAGGTACCGCCCTCATGTGATGATTGCCGGACGTCTCCGAACCTCGTGATCATTACAAAAAAATCCCGACGGAAAACATGATGCCCTGAGCAAGGTTCGAACTTGCGACCTCAGGATTGCCCAGTAACGATACCGGTCATACAGGTAGTATGAGACCTGCGCTCTAACCAACTGAGCCATCAGGGCTTCTTCATCGTGGGTGAAGTAACATAACTGAGGGCTTTGCGAAAAATATTTTCTGACACGTGACGAAAACGCGTTAAGCGCGTGACGTCACATATACTGTGTCACCTCATTCACCAGTCCCCCAAATTGCAATCATGCGTGTCCTCGCACTCTCTGACAGCAAGCTGGAAAGGCATGTACCTCCTGAAGAAATCGAAGAAACCTGTACGAATAGACGGCCTGCTCCAATGCCTCCCCCTCCTACGAAGATTCCATCCATCACAATCGATGCCGACCTCGTGACGGATTCTATGGCCGCCAGATTGTGCATTAGCTTGGTCGGCCATGTTCTGTTTTTGAAGAGTCAGGTGCCCTTGTAAGCTCAAGCGCTGGAAATCAAACCTTCTGCTGATATTTATATAGCCCTGTCATACAGATGGCACGGATGCTCGGTGGCGATGTAGGTGCCCTGCTGATTTATCTGACCTTAGAACTGACGCCACAAAGACCACGTCCCGAGCTGCGAAGAAGCGTCATGAACTCCTCAATTCATTTGATACCCTCGCGTCACATCTCAATACGACATTTACAGCACTCTCCACGGCGTTTGCCCACCACTGTGGGACAAAAGGTGCTCGAAGTTCTGGCCGTGCCTACCTTGCAGTTGTTCTTGGTCCCACGCCTGGATCCGCTAAATGCAGGGTAATGGTGGGTGTGAATGCTTTGGAAGCAAAGGTCTGGGGAAAACGAGATGATTGTTCGGGTGTCCCATCTGAACGTGAGGGAGAGGATGCGGAGGATGACCAGAAAAATGATAGTGAAAATGAGTCTGACTCGGACATCGGCAACAATGGCGAAGACGACTCAAATGAAAGCGGTGACAGTGATAGCAGTGATAGTTCAGGCGATGAAGAAGCAGCTTCGGAAACGGAGTCCGATGAATCTTCTCAAGCACCCTCCCCACCACCGTCTAGGACACCTTCTCCCTCCTCTTCTCCGCCTCCTCCACCGCACCTACTACCTCCAACTTATGCCCAAGAACTCGAAGCCCTCCGCACCGCCGAACGCCTGCTCTCTCGCACACTTGCAAGCGCGTGCGGAGAAAACGATGGGCAGGGCATGGCCAGCGAAATGGGTCAGTAGTAACCATCTTAGTGTTTCATCTATACCTTAACGCCGTCTCGGGAATAGCTCCAACTCAGACACACATAGTGCTGCGTGCTCCGCGAAAATTTATGCACCCGGCGTGGGTGCCTAGGCAAGCACTCAGCGGTGCTTTTGACGCGCTGCTAGACCAGTTTCTTGAGGAATCTGGGGAACGTCCAACAAGAGATGATATTAAGAGGAAGAAAGGCGGAAAGGTGGAAGGTGTATGGATTCGCAGCCGACAGAGACTAACCGAAGATTCGGAAATAATATCGAGCGAAGAAATTCCAGAAGAGGACGAGATGATTTGGTGGACGTGGGACGGCAGGCTTGTTGGATTTGCGGACTGGTGACATTCGAAAATAATTTTCAGACGACTTGAACAAAGCGGTTGCGACGTCAAGTGCGTGGCTTGCAGGATAAGTATCTGCCAATAAATTGTACTGCTATGCTATGAAGCCACTCCTTGACTAGTCGGCCATCTACGTAAAACGTTCGAAGAAAATAATGAAGATAGCAACGCAGAAGTTACATTCATCGGAGCAATTATAATTCTCGAAGGATGATTGATGTATGTACATAGGAAATTGGAGTTTGTTTGGCAACAGCTTTAGAAATAAACAACCTTCTGCTGACATAATATCGTGACAGTCACGATTATCGCGTTTCAACGCGTTCCAAGGAAAAGCCATCATGAAAGCAACAAGCGCAACACCATCTACATCAGCACCTGTCGCTCACAATGCTCTACCCCCACCATCTGCAACATCCAGTGCTCGTTCCTCTAGAATCGCTCCTCACTCGCACATAAAAGGATTGGGGCTCACATCAGATGGCCTTGCAGCACCTGATGCTGCAGGATTCATAGGCCAGACTAATGCTCGAGAGGTCATTATAACATTTTTCTCTCTTTCTCCTGGAACTGACCAAACTCGTAGGCATGTGGTGTGGTGGTGGATCTCGTAAAATCCCGCAAATTTTCGGGACGCGCGCTACTTCTCGTAGGCGCGCCGGGAACAGGCAAAACAGCCCTTGCTCTAGCAGTATCTCACGAACTTGGCAACAAGGTACCATTTTGCCCTATGGTCGGTTCTGAGGTGTACAGCACAGAGGTGAAGAAGACGGAGGTACTTGCAGAATCGTTCAGGAGGGCAATCGGTGAGTACCTTAGATATTTGGAAGTCTTTATCAGGTTTCTCGTGAATACGCATTATATGTTGTGCTGTATATCGCATTTCCAATGTCTTGGCTCGGATCTACAACCTCACACTCAACGCGTCCCTTTACGACAGGTCTGCGAATAAAAGAAACCAAGGAGGTTTACGAAGGAGAGGTCACCGAACTTACACCCGCGGAATCTGAGAATCCATTGAGCGGATACGGAAAGACAGTCTCGCATGTTATCGTTGGTCTCAAAACTGTCAAAGGTACCAAGCAGTTGCGACTGGATCCCACCATCTATGAAGCAATCCTCAAGGAAAAAATTGTGGTCGGTGATGTTATCTATGTAGAAGCCAACACCGGTGCAGTCAAGGTGTGTCAGTATTGATTAATCAAGCATACACAAGTCAATTTCTTTTTATGCAGAGAGTTGGACGATCTGATGCATATGCCTCCTCCTATGACCTCGAATCCGAGACATATGTGCCATTACCAAAAGGCGACGTTCATAAGCGTAAAGAGCTTGTACAAGACGTTACTCTCGGTGATCTCGATGCCGCCAATGCGCGTCCGCAAGGCGGTCAAGACATCATGAGCGTTATGGGTAGCCTCGTGAAGAGCGGAAGGACGGAGGTGACAGACAAACTTCGAAGAGAAGTCAACAAGGTGGTGAAAGGCTACGTAGATCAGGGCGTTGCGGAGGTTGTTCCGGGCGTGGTTTTCATTGATGAGGTATCTGTCTTCTCGTGTTTCTGTAGGAGCGAGGGCTAAATATTTTATTTAGGTGCATATGTTGGATATCGAGTGCTTCACCTATCTCAATGCCCTCCTCGAATCACCCATGGCACCTACTGTAATACTTGCTACCAATCGTGGAAATGCACTAGTACGAGGGACGACCGACGTTGTCTCACCTCATGGTATCCCTGTAGATCTGTTGGATCGGTTAGTCTGCAAACCTCATGACAGACCTTCGACTGATTTACCTTGACAAGATGTCTTATTGTGAAAACTGACGGATATAATCGCGAGCAGATCGGCAAGGTAGTACAATTACGCGCGAACGTAGAAGGTCTTAAATTGGGACCTGGGGTTTTGGAGCGAATAGCAGAGGAGGGTGAACGAGGGTCGATGCGGTATGAGACATCTCAATTAACAGTGAACTCCTCATGACTGCCTTAACAGATATGCTCTCCAACTTCTTACGCCAGCTTCAATTCTCGCTGGTCTTTCCGGAAGAAGTCAGATAGAGGTAGAGGATATTGGAGAGATGAATGAACTGTTCTTAGATGCGAAGACTTCTGCAACTAATATTGGCGCGGACGGTGGCTTTGATGGGGGAAAGATGTGGTGAATGTCGTTCCCTGCCAACGACTTCTCCTGTACGCTTTTATATTATCTCGTTCATCTTGTTCATGGTCTCTCGTGTTCAGATTACCTAAATTGCTACTCATGTGAGGATGCTTTCTCTGGGTGCTATTATTTTGTCTCAAATGGCGAAGAGTGTGTACCTTGAGGAAGTCAATATTTTGTGAGTCTCGAACAACTACCGCCCTAATCACGTGCCTCTATTTCATCACATTTGTGCGGCATGTGGGGAAATCAGTGGGGATCCCCAAGGGAAACTTGTTGATGCCCTGGACTCATTTTCCACACTTGCGCATCACCTAATTATTTGGAGCACTTGTGACTCTAGCCCCTTCTGTGCCTCATACCGTAGGGCGTACTTCCCACAATGTCATAACGCGCCAAGTTTTTGATTTCTAATGTCCCGCACTTCCGCAAAACACTTCCCCTCTTTGCATTGGAAGAAAAAAATACTCTCACTAAACTATGTTTACGGTCGTTAGACTCTGAAACTCGGCGCATCATCCGATCTTATTTTTAGAGGGAATCCACAGCAAGCCTTGTATGTGCTTATGTGATTCTCACGACTTCACTGACTCCTTATCCCCGTGCTCGACCTTCCAGTAAATGATGCATTCAAGCCAATCACTTTTTTGGCATGTTTCCCATGCAACAGCGTGCGGGCCTTGAACGTCTGAACGCAGAGCTTATGATGATCTTCTATCACCATTCCTGTAAGTGCAAGAGCTTGCACAGTCTGGCGCCTGGATCCGGTATTCTCATGAGCGCAGCCACAGGCGCCACTGCGCAAGTTTCCCGGTCCTAGTTCCTGCGCTTTTCGCAAGGCACACGTCGCGTCAGCATGAGCTCGTGACATGCCTGATCACCACATGTTGTTAGAAAAGGGAGCGAGTGGAAAGGTTTCGCACGTTGGTAGTGGGGGTAAGAGTACACAGGTGGGACATCTCATACCTCCCATTGGTTGGATGTGACATTTGACTTTGCAAGCTTCCATTTCTTGTGTTACCATCAAAGGCAATCACGTAAGGATTGGCATGAGGCTCAACTTTGTGCACAGTCCAGGTTTAGATCCCATAGTTCATTGTTCGGCTCAGTAGCCCCATGTTCAAGGTTCGATAGTAGTCATTATCCGCTGAGAACGGGGCCCGTGCTTCGCATACTGGGGATTTTGTTTACAAGTCAATGATAACGCGACCAGCACGCCAAGGCAGGTGCCCTTTTCCGCTCTCCAGACGATCCAGTGCTAAAGTTTGTCAGGGCAAATTGCAACCCCGCGAGAACTAGAATACCCCATGCGCGCCAACGACGCAACCTGTCCGGAGTCTAACTTGGCTCCCTTTTTGGGC